CATCGCTAGTAGGGTGGAGGCCATCGCTAGTAGGGTGGAGGCATCATCGCTAGTAGGGTGGAGGCCATCGCTAGTAGGGTGGAGGCCTCTTTTGAACTTGTTGAGGTCTTCCTTTGTTTTGCAATGGCTGTAGCCACTCCACGGCTCTCTACCTACTTGACACAGGCGAGTCCGAGCGGCTTGTGACTTAGGACCCAGTGTATTTTCGGGAAGTGAACAAAGAAAATTGTTGTAAATTTCCTGAAAGCCATGGATACCTAGTCAGTTTCCAACCTGCCAGGATTCCACATTTTTTCGAGAGCGGAACCCAATGTCTCAATATCGGACACAATATTCGTTATTCAACGTTGTTGCACTTTCTTTCAAAACAGATTGACAGACACTACAAAAGATTAGTTGGTTTTACGTCTCTTGCAAGTGTACCCTCTTAGCAATTGTTTGCTTGGATTTTGGATCGTTGGAGCAGCGCGACTCTGGAATCAGCTTTTGATCGCAACTTGTCCAGAAACGTTGTGACTCTGGAACCGGGCTCTAAGAACAACTTTTTGCCTGACACCTGGGACCCTGTCTATGGAACCCTCAACTTGTTTTGCGGAGCCGTCCCCGATCCCATGACAGATTTTTCATGCGGGATCCAGTTATTTTTTGCAAAAAATACCATGTTAGTCTTCCTGCTGGCTCCACTCCCGGCCCCGTGAAAGGACTCAACACCGAGTCCACCAAAACCGGTTTGCCACTCAAAGATTGAAAGATATTGAAAGTATCTATCAAAAAGGACGAGAGTGAACTGTGGCCTCTTTGGGGTGAATCCCTAGCAAGGAAAGTACATGCGATGCAATCCATGGAAATCCCCTCAAAGTTATATGAACTGATTGCTAATAATGTTTTGTATCATTCAGATATGTTCCATGTTTTTCCATGTCTAGTTTTCTGAAAAATTGAAGCCCAAAGCTCGCAGGTGACACATCCAAAATCGGTCTCCAAATTGAGAATCCGACGGCCTTTTTGACGGGAAAAGAATTGACGACATTTTTGGCGGCGATTAACAAGAAGCTACTAGGGGCTGGCATCGCTACTAGGAGCATTCTTACCACTAGTAACAAGAAGCTTGTGATTCTCCCGATTGTAGCTCGTAGGCTCTGCGTGCAGCAGCGACAACACAGGATCACATTTAGGCAGGGAACATGTTCTCAACCTTTGGTTTTCTTGCGTTTCTTATCTGTATCAAAAAGGAAGAGACAGTTGAAATCAAAGGAAGGTAAGGCCGCAAGGTCCTTAAGAGATTTGTTTTTTACTTTCTCTATCATTCAATCGCTTCCTCCAGGAACTGCACCCACCTCAACTTCTTCAGTGCTTCTCACAGGACTTCGTTCTATTTTTTGTTTTTGCTCCATGGAATCTAATTTGTTTGAAGAACTCTCGTTACTCTCGCATGTTTGTTCTATTGGTCCAAGACCAAAGATGATCAAAGCTTCCTCTTGGATTTGAAGGATGCATGAGCTTCTCAGTGTTTTTGTGCAGGAGCTGGCTCTCAATGGGATGCCATCATTGATGTTCCATGCCTGAGAAGTTTCATTTCTTACAGCAAGGGCTCTTCCACTATGCTTCTCCGTGCGTCGGGAGAAACATGGAGAAACTGGGAAACTTTCTGCATTTACACACACCTTTTGAACACAGGTAAGATATTCAGAGAGTCTAGAGTCTACGTGTTCGAGCTTCAATGCGTTTTAACTTCAGTGCTTGGTTTTTCACCTTCATGCACCAGGCCACATCCATGACCACTGGAACGGACTACAAAATCTGTGTGGATTTAGATGGTGAGGAAACCCAGCGTTTTGAGCTACAAATAGGGAGCGCTACTAGGGTGGAGGCCATCGCAAGTAGGTTGGAGGCCATCGCCTAGTAACAAGAAGCTACTAGTTATATCAAATGAGCAGAACCAATGCAATTGAGCAGCTTATGAGCTTGATGGAGGAATAATGATCTTACACGACGGTTCCGTTGGGTATGCATGGACAAGGAAGAAGTCAGCCTAAGGCTCAAGCAGGGAGTTGGCCTTCGTGGATACTGGGCTCACTGTTCAAATTACCTCCATTACCGGAGTTGTCCGCTCCTGATTTTGAGGCTTCAAAAGAAGAAGGCATTAGACTACATAGATGTTCAGAGTAAAGTTTACTTTGACTGAGCAAATCACATCAGCGGAAAATGGACATTCTTAGAGAAAAGAGATGTTTGAACATCTCAAGGTGAGTGCCACCTTCCACGTGGGTGGGGTTACAGATTTGGAACTTACCACAGATCTCTCGGATGGATCGTACGGATCTGAGCTTATTCTGCACTTCCGAAGGATGTATCATGATGTATCATCTTCAGAACAAAAAGAGATGATGTGAAGCAATGTGACGCATTAACATGAGGTGAGCATGACATGCTTAAGATGTTGGAAGGACGCACCCTTTTTGACCTCGGGCCATGATGACTTTGCAAGCCATAGGCTAGCGAATGCATATGCTTATGTTGGAGCAGAGTGCAGCACGCCTTTGGCTGAGAAAATTGGGACACAAAGTGTGGACACAGAAGAACAGCTCAAATTTCCTGCTTGTTGCAGCGATTTGAGGCTAGGTGCGACCAAGACGGACAACTGTGGGTAAAATTTTTTGAGCTAAGCGCAAGGACGCTACTAGCGGCTCCTGGCATCGCAACTAGTAACAAGAAGCTACTAGGGGCTCCTGGCCATACTACTAGGAGCAAGGACGCTACTAGGGGCAGAGATATTGTGCAACAAGTTGAGCTAAGGGCATTCAGTTCGAGTGCGGGTGAACGAAATACGGTGGAGCAGACAGTGCTTGGTGTGGTCAACGGTGCTTTGCTCAATGCGATGGTGAGAGATCTGTAAACCAAGCAACACAAGGAAATTGCCAGTCTTCAAGATCCTCAGATTAGCCCAGTTGTTTGTTGACTTGGCATTTTTCAGAGTTTTGCTGGGAAGACATCATTGTCACTATGGTGAATGTGTTTGGCACAAGGTGTGATAAGCTTTCCGCTGGTTGTCACCGGGCTTTCGCAGGGGAAGCCTGAAGCTTAGAAGCCTACACGGAGAGCTAAGCAGCTAAGGGATGCTAAGGGCTAGCTAAGGGCTAAAGCCCCTAAAGCTGCTAAGCCCAGTTTCATCCGGGCTGGGCGGCTGATGGGAAGCTGTGCGAACCCTGAGGGCTAATTGGTTTGGTGGTTGTGGGTATTCCAAGTGCGAGGGAACAAAGAGAATTGCATCAAAAAACTGATAAGCATCGATAAGCATCAAAAAGAAATTGCGCAACACGCTAGTAGGTTGGAGGCCATTGCTAGTAGGAACAAGAAGCTACTAGGAGCAAGGACGCTACTAGGGGCTCCTGGCATCGCTACTAGTAGCAATGTTCGCTACTAGTAACAAGAAGGCTATTAAGTTGGAGGCCATTGCTAGTAGGTAGGGGCAGAGCGGCAAACAAAGTTTGGTTCCTTGGTCTTCCCCCGGTGGGTCCAAAGCTCCACTGGTCCTGCTCCCTTGGTCGCTTGTGGTCCCTTCGTCCCCTGTTCTCCTTGCTCCTTGCCCCCGATCTTCTTGGTCCCCTTCTTGCCCTTCTTGCTGTGGAGTTCTGGGATGCTTGATGGAGCAAGCATAGGTCATCCAAAGGTTCAGTCGGACACTCCATGCAGGTCGGACGCGACAAAGGACAGATGTAAGGATGAGGCCAATACCCTGTTTGGACTTCAGGACAGTGAGGAACGGTTCACCGCCCTTTTGTGGGCCAACCGAGGACAACATTTAGAGCAGCATTCCAACAGACCTCGAGGGTCAAACTTACAAGACCTTAGACAACACCAACCTTGCACCACAGATTAGGACAAACTTTACAAGTTTGTAGGTCGCCCTTGTCGCTGGGCCTTAAGTAGTAAGTAGTGTTGGTGTCAGCGCTGGCCTCCTCCTCCTCCTCCTCCTCTTCCTCATCATCCTCGTCGTCGTCGTGGTCGTCGTCGTTGTTGTCAGACATCACAATTCCATCACATGACCACAACATTTGTCATCGTATGTGATTCCTTCACATATTTTCAACGAATCTTTGGGGACTCGAGTCTTCTTATCCTCTTACTGCTGCGGTCCGTTCTGGTCAGACTGTCCTCGCTCTTTCCACGCAAACTTTCGCGGGCTCGATATGCTCATGGGTCCCCTTCCTCACCACGAAATCCGGAACCCGTTTTTCTGTATCAGTGCTTCTGGCCTTACTACTGGGAGCAAGGACGCTACTAGGGGCTCCTGGAATCGCTACTAGTAGCAATGTTCGCTACTAGTAACAAGAAGGCTATTAAGTTGGAGGCCATTGCTTGTAACCCGTTTTTCTGAGTTTCTTCAGGGTGAAAAAAAGAGAGTGTTGGGACGCTATGCTCGGTGGAGGCCATCGCAAGTAGGGAGGCCATCGCTACTAGTGGCAAGAAGCTGCTAGTAGTAACAGAACCAAGAAAAGTAATTTGGACGAGTGTTGTGGCCGCACCTGAGCTATTCCAGCTTCACGCACCCGTTAGCCAACCAAGGATAAAGTTTACCGGCAGCAAACCATTCCAACCGTAAACATCCGTAAACCATACATGCTTTGGGCCACTCCAGTGTAAAATTTAGGGCAGCAAGATAGCGAGTTATTCCAACCTCACGCACACCTCAGAATTTACCCTTCTGTGAGCCCACCATGGGGTGAATTTTAGCAACAAACCTTCCCTTTGTTGTGTGCCCCAGACACTGTAGACACCAGTTCAGGAACATTTTTGTTGATCAGTTTTTGGATCCCTCACGAGAGTGTCTAGGCTGAAACGAAACGAAGTACGGTCAGCTTGGCACAGAAAAAGAAATCAAGGAGTTTGGGTGACAGAGACTGAAGCACAGGATTATAGTTGAGGGAAGTGCTCAGTCAGGGAGCTAGAGGCATGTCAGAATGCTGTTTTTTCCCCACGCAGTTCTCTTGTGTATGGCGTTTCACTATGAACAAGTTTTTTCTTCCAAGTGACGATGAAATCTATGGACCTGCCCCAGGTTTTATAGAGCCTGCATTGACGAAGATGGGCCAAATGCGCTCACAGCTTAGTCTGCAGCTTCTTGGAAGATGCGCAAGGATGCAGTTTGGTCAATTTCCGGTTCTTGCACGTGTTGTTCTCGGCGAAACATCTCAAGAAACTCTTTCAACAAAGAGGTGTTGGAGGTAGAAGACAACAAGAACCATTCTTGATCCTACTACTACTACGACGACGACCACCACCACCACCACCACGACCACCACGACCACGACCACGACCACGACCACGACCACGACCACGACCACGACCACGACAAACCTGAGCCTTAAAGGCTTCTTCCAATCTAATAGCGAAAGGAACCTACTAGCGATGGTCTCCATCCTGGCAGCAATGGCCTCCAACCTAGGAGCGATGGCTTCCAACCGACGAGCGATGGCCTCCAACCTTCTAGCGATGGCCTCTAACCTACTAGCTGTTCTACCCATCCCTGCACTTTCCGCCTGTAGTGTTTTTTGTGTTTACAGATTCCAGTAGCAATATAGCCACTGGCTACCAGCACTTCATCACTACTCCGGAATTTCGCGTGGTCAAGTGGCTTTGCCCTCAAGTCTTGCTGTCACTTCGAGCTGGTCATCACGGGCTCTCTTTTTGTTCTCCTCTTTTTTGGGTACATTGTTGAACCGTTTCTGGTCTTTGGAGATTTCGGTGGGTGCTACAGTCTGGAGGCCACATAATCATGGTCCCAACGGTTTCTTCAGGTTCGTTGTTGAGCTGTCAACTGCAAACTGGGGGGGATGTGGGGGATGGAAACAGTGCGATAGACAGTGAACTTTCTTTTTTTTCTCTCTCTCTCTCTCTCTGATGTTCCATCACAAATCTTCTTGTTACTAGTAGCTACTTGCCCCTAGTAGTACGGCCAGGAGCCCCTAGTAGCTTCTTGTTACTAGTAGCTTCTTGTGATGTTTCTCCTTTGTTGGGCATATAATTGCGTTTTGTACAGATCAGGCTTGCTCAGGGGAGTTTTGTGATGGAACCGCGATGACGTGTGTACAAGCAGCTCAGGCAAGGCTTTGTCGATGTGGGTGTCCCCATCTATGCTGGACCGTCAGTGAGTGTGAGCAGAGTGGGATAAGTCACACTAGGTGACCTGAAAGACACACTGCTGAGGCACTCCTTCCTTCTTTCCTTCCCTCCATTAATTTACTTTTTTTACAAGAAGCTTCTTGTAACTAGTGGCTACTTGCTCCTAGTAGTACGGCCAGGAGCCCCTAGTAGCGTCGTTGCTCCTAGTAGCGATGCCAGGAGCCCCTGGTAGCGTCCTTGCTCCTAGTAGCGATGCCAGGAGCTCCTAGTAGCGTCCTTGCTCCTGGTAGTATGGCCAGGAGCCCCTAGTCAAAGGAAGTTTAGTGTACGAAACTTCCGTGTTACGGACATTCAAGAACTGTTCATAAACCACTCATCATACACCACTTATCATACACCACTCATCATACACCACTCATCATACACCGCTCATCATACACCACTCATCATACACCACTCATCATCCAGTTAGCTCTAGTTTCAAGAGCCCTAGCTCCTGTTAGCTCTAGTTGCAAGAGCTCTAGATCCAGGTAGCTCTAGTTTCAATAGCTCTAGCTCCAGGTAGTTCTAGTTGCAAGAGCTCTAGCTCCAGGTAGCTCTAGTTTCAATAGCTCTAGCTCCAGGTAGCTCTAGTTTCAAGAGCTCTAGCTCCAGGTAGCTCTAGTTTCAAAAGCTCTAGCTCCAGTTTGCGTGGCAGGCGCAGCACTTTGTGAACCTCCATGTGCAGATTTCGTGGCAGGCACAGCGCTGTGTGAACCTCCATGCGCAGAGTTCGTGGCAGGCACAGCACTTTGTGAACCTCAAGGTGCAGATTTCGTGGCCGGCGCAATACAAAATGCGTTTTCGAGAGATAGCGGACGCACGAAATGCTGTGTTTTTCAATAGAAACGGTGGCTCCGAAGCTGGCAAGTCAAGCTTTGCGGAACGACGTGTGCGAGACGGTCTCGGGTCATTCTCGGATCATGCTCGGATCATGGTCGGCACAGCGCTTGGTGAACCTCCATGTGCAGATTTCGTAGCAGGCGCAGCGCTTTGTGAACCTCCATGTGCAGATTTCGTGGCAGGCGCAGCGCTTTGTGAACCTCG